AACAGAACTTTGTAGTGAGAATAACCCTTTTATTATAAATCACGACTTATTCTTATTTAGTACATAACAATCTGATACGAAGCAATATACAATATAAATGACTCGGCATTGCAATAATCCAACACGAGTCAACTAACAATTTTTATTTGGCATCATAATAATTACTAACAAACAAACAAACAATTGCGTGTTTACTAAATTCGGCATCACAATTATTGAACACGATAGATCAACCAACAATTACACATTTTCTATATTCAGGATTAGATTATTAATAGGCATTTGGCTCCACCCGATAAAATACTTTTAATCGTATTTCCCCATATGTGGTGTTGTGTGACAAATAAATTTAAAATAAGCGCTATCGTTATTAGTTATGTAGTACACATTCGATTGGAGGCAGTGAATATTCGAAGGGTAGGTAGGTTTGGCTACAAAAAGAATAGGCGTATATGTGGATTTAATTAATAGCACATTATTTGGAGTTATGATTTTCAACTTTGGATAACGTGAATTTTATAGAGTTCGTTCGGTCATTTAAGATAATTAATTATCACATGAATGATCGAGTTGAGAGTCCAAAAGTACTGCTTTCTCACATAGTGTATTCAAAATCATAAAAAATAATACAGGATCTGAGTTCACGAAAATAAATCACTTTTTTTCGCACTAGTAAATTCTAGTCTCAGAAAGCGAATGACATTTCACAGTCAGATCCAAATATATATAAAACTTTTCGATACTGTGATTTGCATCAAGAATTTTATTTATTATCACGCTTATGTTAAATGGTAATCAAATAAAAAATAGAACAACTTATATAATTTATAATTTATAATTTATAATATATGATGCTGTCACTAGTTTAGACTTTTCCGTTCCATGATAAATCCTGACCCCTAGGAGCTAAATTTCCGTGACCATCCTTAGAATACTTCTGATCTCGGAAAGAATAAAGTTACCAAGCTTAATCTGTGCTTGCTCACCGACTTTTTTGCTATTAATGTAAAGAAGAGTCTGGGGAAAGATAGTGCGACTTACTGTAACTGAAACCTGGTGACTGCAACAAACCTTCATATGAACTTTGGCGTAAATAAATGGTGCATCATATCCTGACAGACTATATTAGAGTTTTCGTTCAGATCGAGCTAATCGGCTATGCCTAGAGTCAAAGACATTTAAACATGTGTTTTTTCTATTTCTATTCCACCATATCCCATTTAATGGATATTCGATGCAAATATCAGATGGTGAAAAAAAAATCCACCTTCTTCTGTATACGTAATATAATTTTTTGTATATCCATAAGGATTGCGTTTAACATTGATAACTTCTTCAGGATTGTTGGTTGGGTTGCTTTGATCAATATAATCAGGATCACTAGGATTATAGCTGACAAGCTGACCATTAGCACTGCAGCTAACATTGAATTTGGGAATATGGACATATTCTCTGTATTCTTTGCTCATCATCCATTTGTAAAAAGCTTCACCATTATATTTGTCATTTATGTTTGGGAAGGAGTCGGGAGTCCTTATTTGCTGAAAATTTTAATGCAGTGCATAAGGTAAACGAAGTCGGTTCTGATAACTTTACTATTGCCTGCAATTCTCTCATACAGTTCTCCCATAGTCCGCTCTTGATGTACGAGATAGAGAGAATATCTGGCGTCTGAAAGGTTATTGTCTTTCCCGATAACGCACATTGAAACAAGAAGGTAGCTAAGATGATGATAATTTTACCAAGCATGACAGCTTTTGTATGATTATAATTAATGCTAAGATCTGAATTTATCGATTTATTTGCAATGTTATGAATTTGTTTGAATAAAAACAAGTGGTTTATTTGCTAAAAATTTTTTATTTCTCCCGAGTATTTAACAGAAAGGCATATACACAAGAAATCATATATATATCTTCTTGTAATGCCAGAACATATAGAAAGAACGGTTTAAGTTATATGCAAGAAATTTACTACGCAAGGTGATAAATTGCATGAATAAATATATGTTACTATGTTGATTGGTACCATAAACTATTCTTTTTAGAAATAACTCAAAGAAATATAAACAAAAAAATTCAATTTTACTTCGTGAAAATTATTTAATCACAAATCAAATTAGTGCCAGATTAAAATAATTATAATTTTGTTAATATATATCTAACATAGGATCACACCCTAATGAAACACCGCATTTAAATTTCGATCGATGCAAAAATGAAATATCATATTTAAACTTTGTTCTGAAGAAAATTTTAAAATAATTCACTATGCATGATATAATCTGGTATCAGTTAATTTGAATAACAATAAGCAATACAGTAATACACTGATATCTGCAAATATATATGCTTTATTTTAACATAATAGGTATATATAGCACAAGTTTGATCATGATTTTTTTAGACTGAATATTCGAAATCTAATGAATATTTGTATTACAAATTTAGCATAACTGATCTTATTGCTAAACTGAAACATGATGTCTCGCTAATTAAGGAGCAGAGCTTGCAAAATGGTAATAGGTACATCCCTGAACAGATAGTCCTCTCTCAAAGAGAAAGTAATGTCAATA